GTACCATTTATAGCTTGTTATTGACCTCTTTACTTAACCGTTTGCAGCTAGTGGAAGCATTTCATGCCACCCTGGAAGAAGTTGCTGAGGCAGACATGTTAGTGGTAGGTGGAGTTAGCTTGTTTTCAGATCCATTCTCGATTGAACATATCTGATGAAGTATTTTATTTGCATGTTATCAATAGGTGTTACTTCAGCCCTGTGCATGTTTACTGTCAATTCTGCTTTAGTTTAGAATAGGGTCGAAATTACATTTTTTCTTTGTATGCATTGGTGCAGCATGTGTTGGATTCCAGCGCACCTGATATTGAAGAGCATCGTTCTACTGTTCTACAAGTACTGCAGCAAATTGGTGTTTCACAGGATAAGATCAACAATATGATCGAAGTTTGGAATAAGGTGACTATCGAGATTTGAGTTGGTTCTAACTCTTGATAATTACATATGGTTCCCTGGTAACTTTCAGTTTATATGCATTGTGATATATTGTTTGATGGGAAATTTTCAGATTGATCTTGTGGATAATATTGCTTTGACTGATGGGATTGAAGACGAGATCTTCCTCACTGAAGGTGAAGAGGAGGAAGACTTGTTCTCTGAAGATGATGTGTCATCAGAGCAGTCGTCTTTTGATTCCTTGGATGATACAGTGGATTCAGAGTCTCTATCAGAAAAAAGTTGTGAAAATGATGATTTAATGGCATCTAAAGAATCGATTGCTGAGCCTATCGAGATGAAAGCAGTGAACTTTGAACTGTTACCGGAAGATTGTTTTAGAGAGTCTAATCGCCCGGAAGCTATAAGTACAAGTGGTTGCACTTTGACAGAGCCAGTATCCACTTGTCACGTGAAAACTTCAGCTGTGGCTGGGACAGGATTGCAAGAGCTGCTGCAGTTAATTGATACAAAACTGAATGGACAGCAAACGGTTGTGCAGAGAAGCTATGGACCTTTTGATAGAAAATGGAGACCTAGTTCTATGGATGACGAGAAGGCTGCAGAACAGTAGGTATGTTTGTAGTGCCTTTTGTTCGAAGTGTTGTTGATTTTAATAATAATATGTGATTCCAAGTTTGCACTGGAGATGCACATCATTTAGAAATCTGAAAATATACACGATGTATCATTTATGCAGCAGAAATCTGTTTTGGATAAATTGGACAAGTGGCATCTAGATTTTTTTGTCTGTACAGTGCAGTATTTTTTTTCCCAATTTTCGTATAAAAATTGAAGGATTGTTCCCTCTTTTGCCCTGATTTATCTTACCCATCTTATTTGTAAGAGCTTTGACTTCCCGTCGTCTTATTTGTAAGACATTGAGAGCGTAAGTACCATGGTTATTTTCTCAGTTCTTTTGGTTTCAGTCTCATTGTCCCTTGTTCCTGTGCGAGTCCACAATATAGCTCAGAGAAATAAATGAAGGGCATATTTTGTATTCCTCCATTTACTTTTGTAACGCATAGTGTAGCTTTGACTTCCCTTCGTCTCAACAATTTGACATTAAGATGTGATGCTACTAATAACTTCAAATTGTGATTGTATGGGAACACTTTAAAAGATGAATTAATGATACCACCCTCATATGGCTAACCTAAGAAATACAGTATATTGTTAAACAACTTATTATACTAATTTTTTTGTTTCAAATGTAGAGTTGTGCAGGATCCAAGGAATCATTCTACTTCATGCTGAAAATTTGGATTCCTATGAGATTTATGTGTTTTGAACATAATATAAAGCCAATCTATGAGGAGTGGTGTCTTGCCTCATGGGAGCATGTGCTCCACTAATTTTGATATTTTGCTCCGTGAAATCTTAAAGCTTGCAAAAGTACTCATGCATGTTCCAAGAGACACGTCTTTTTCCACGTGGGTGTACACATTTCATTTTCCAGCACAACCCACCATTACAATGTACCTATGCAACCTGGTCAGTTGACGCACCAAGTCAACACAAAGAATGTCAAACTCAGATTTATTCTCTATTAAGAGCAACAACCAATGAAAAATACTACTCCAAGTTTAGCCATGTTTCTTGTAACAAACTTTTGAGTTTCAAGTTTGATTTAAATGTTACTGCGACAATACGTAGATATATCCACATTTTTTTAAAGAAAAAAACGTTTTCATCTACTGCCCTGTCTAATGTTCTGTTTAGAACTCTGAATGGACAATCCGTAGATACATCCACAAGGGCGAGTTCGTACCTTGTCTGCTATAAATTCATATGCATTGTGTATTAGGGCAAACATATTTACGGTCAAACTTGAATCTCGGAGAGCGCGGGCGCACTACATTATGGAACGATCGTGTACTGGGGCAAACATAGGCTCTACATTTTGCTGTTCATTGCTGAGGCTGTGTAGCCTTTTTTGCGGGCAAGGCTGTGTAGTCATGTCAGTTTTATTTAACTCTTGTAGCCTGTGCTAGAGGCTGGAGCAGTGAACATCCTCGTGCTTTCTTACTGTAGGACTGACGAGATTGAAGTAGCACACTTGGCTGTCCGTATCACAGGAAGAAGTCAATATAGCTACCACAGGTACCACAGTGTACCTTCGACAGAAGACCGCTGTCTTATCGTTCATGGTCCAACAAGCAACATACGTATCCTGTAAGATTTTGCCTATGAATCCAGTCTACTGCCTGTTACACAGCAGAGTAGGAAGGTCAGGAACGTTGAAGATGGAGAAGTTATGGTCATGTAACATCACTGCCTGCTGCTTGACAATACTAGTAGCACATCATATTTACTGTTCATAAAGACATTTAGGGTTCCTTCTGATTGAAAGGATTTTTTAGGAATTTTCCCTATTATCTTTGTTGTTTGATTCATAGGCCTGAGAATTTTTCCTTAGGATTCTTTTGTACTACATTTCACAGGAACTTTAGCATCAACTCAAACCTCTTTGAAAAAAAATCCTTTGCTTTTCCCAAGATACAATCAATCAAACAAAAAAATTGTAGGATTGAGATGAGCATGACATTGCAATCATATGCTTTGCTGTTCTTGCAATTTTAGAATCCTTTGAATCAAAGAGGCCCTTAGAGAGTTAAAGTGTGTCATGCGTTGGGGTTTTGAGATGCTGCTTTACCACGAGCATCAACACAAAGAAGGTTTCATGTTGTTTGCATGTAAAAGAGGTCTAAATGATAAATGTTCTGTTTAGAGATTTGAATGCACAAGCAAAACTTTTGGTTATGTAACAGCGGCATGCTTGCGGGGACGTTGCTTGGAAATTTACAAGCAATTTATTTGATGATCAATTGCTGCAGTGCTAATTGTGCAATTCATTCAATGATGAAATATTACTGCAGCGCTAACTAAACCAAAACGAATCTAAAAGCAATTTCATTGGATCATCGATATTATTGCACTTCTAACTACAACCACAAATATCATTGACTTAATCACATTTCAAGCATATCCAAAAGTACAAAGTCAGATTAATAGTTAACATAGCAATTCCTTTCTCAGTGACACCGCCAAATCACAATCACCACACAGTACCACACCATGCATTCGTCGGAGGCTTCACCAGATCCTTGAGCGCCGGCGGCCACACCACCATCTCGTAGAGGTACGGGTCGCCGATGGGCCGCTTCTCATTGTCGTTGTACCATAGCCTCTCATTCGTATGCGGTACTAAGGCAAACATAGGGTCATGAACTACTCTGCACCCGATAGCTGGTGCCTGATTTTCACAATACGCTTTGGGCCGTTTGGATTGTGAGTATCTTTGCCATATGATTGCCATATGATTTTTGCCATACTTGTCTTAGTTGAGTTGCTTAAATTATTAGCCACACTTTGACTTGCCTAATGAAATCTTGCCGTACTTTTTGTGCCTATGACATGTGGGGTTAATTGCTCATAAAAAATTTCTTGACTTAGGTGTGGCTAGAACCAAATATCTATCTAACTTGGTCAAAGTTGGTTAAGGTTAGATGTGGCAGAGTGTGACAAGATGTAGCTAGGAACCAAACAACCCCTTAATCCAGTAGTTGTGCGACACTTGCTCCTACCCATGCTTTGTTGTTCATTGTTGAAGGTGTCTAGTCATGTCAGATTTATTTAAATCTTATAGACTGTTGGAGCCTAGAGCTGTTCCTCGTGCTTGTCCCGTGTCACATGAAAGAAGACAATATGACTACACAAGTACAGTGTAATTTTGACAGAAGGCTGCTGTCTTATCGATTGTGTTAAATTTTGATTTTATATTTAACTAATAAATTGTTGATGTATATCATAAAAAATAATATTATTGAAAACTAGATTCAAATACAAATCCAACGATATAATTTTTAATAACAAATTTGACAATAAACCAACCATGAAGATATACCGTGCAGTACAAGTACTACAGCAACGACATTATTTAATATGAATCAAAGAGAGCACTAGTATCGATCTTGCCTCCTCCAGTCTACTTTTTACACAGCAGAGTAGAAAGGTCAGGAACCTTGAAGCTGGAAGCCTGCTGCTTGACAATACTAGTAGCACGTCATTTTCAATGTTCAAAAAGACAAAAGTAGAGAATAGTGTGCCAGTAGAATACTTGTTCTTTTCAAAATCAACACCAATGTTTGATGGTTCGTGCAATTTGCTCCAGCATAAGTGGTCAAAATGATAATGTTCCGTGTAGAAATTTGAATGTGCAACAGTGCATCCATACTTTTTCGGTTATGTAGCTGCAATAATAAACGTTACTGAGAAATTACAATCAATTCATTTGATGATCAATTACTGCAGTGCTAATTGCGCAATTCATTTGATAATGAAATATTACTGCAGTGGTAACTGAAACAGAACGAATCTAAAGACAATTTCATTGGATCATCGACATTATAGCAGTTCTAACTGCAACCACAAATATCATTATCTTTACCACATTTCAAGCATATCCAAGAGTACAAACTCGACTGTAATACTGAACATAGCAATTCCCTTCTCACTGACACCACCGAAACACACGCTACAGTAATCAGCACGCAGCACACACGCTATGCATTCACCGGAGGCTTCACCAGGTCCTTGAGCGCCGGCGGCCACGCCACCATCTCGTACGGGAAGACGTCGCCGAGGGGCCTCCACTCGTCGTCGTTACGCCATAGCCTCTCCATCTTGAACGTCTTGATGTCAAGCGAAACCACCCGGTCAGCCATGACGAAGAACAATGTCCCGGTGCCCTCGCAGAACCCACCAAAGCTCACAAGCTTGCACCCGTTGCTTATCTGCTCGCCGATCCTGGCCGAGAGCTTCATGCCGTGGAGGTCCCCCACCGTGGCTGGGGTCATCAGCTGCCGCAATGACACCGGCTCCTGCGGCGTCCACGTCCTTGGAGCGTCAAGCACCCATTTCACCAGAAGCAGGGGCTCCCGGATTGCAAAGAAGCAGAGACGGCCGTCCTCTGTCTTGCCGATCCAGTTGTTGCCGGTGTAGAGGGGCATCTCGGCGTTGGGGAGCGGCACCCCAGACATGGTCATCTTGGCCGTGTTGACAGACAGAATGTATTTGGGGTTGGCATCGGACGGTAGCATGTACACGACGTCCCCGACGACGGCGGTGGGGCCTCGATCGGGCATCAGGGGCCGCTTCAGCGCGCCGGTGGCGACCTCCCAGGCAGACGAAGCAGAAGAGTAAATGAGAATATAGAAGTTGGGGGAGGTCGCACCGAAGAGCACGACGAGGACGCGGAACTCTGCTCCTTCCCCCGGGACGATGGTGTGGCAGAACACCGTATGACCGGCGGTGGGGAGGGGCGGCAGCCGAACGAACGTCTTCTCCAGCGGGTTGCAGACGAGGAGGTTGAGTTCCGTCGCGAGATGGCGGCCGAGCTCGTGCAGGAGGAGGCGGTGGCCGCGGCAGTCGACGAGGATGACGCCGCACGCGGGCGACACGGGGAGGAAGCCGAGGCCGAGCGCGACGCCCGCGGTGGGGACGAACGGCGGCAGCGCGGACGGGCCGTGGTTGCGGAAGAAGCCGAAATGGCGGGGCGGGGCGGGGAGGCCGGGCGCGCGGGACACGACGCGGCGCCAGCGCCGGCACACCGCCCCGCAGCGGACGGCGCCCGTCGGCGGAGGGAGACGCCTGAAGACCTCCAGCAGCATGTCGTCGGGCAGCGCGGACACCACGTCGGCCTTCTCCTCGCCCCGGCCCGCCGGCCGCTCCGCCTCCTCCACCCGCGGCCGCGTGCGCCGCGTCGAGTCGAAGCGCCCCGGCGAGGACCGCGAGCGCACGCGGCGGAAGACGACCGCGGACGACATGGCCAGAGCGCAACCGCTCTCTCGTGCAGGCTCGGGCTCTCCGGGCGACTTGCGGCGCGATGTGGTGGACGGATTCGCAATGGCGATGGCAATGGGGGCGGCGGGATGGGGAAATCGGAGGATGGATTTAAGGGAGGCGAGAAGGCGGCAGCGAAATTTTGGGGGGCGTCGTTTGAGTTTCTGGCGGCCGCGGCGCCTTTTCGGCCGGGCTTCCTTTCCTTTCCTTTCCTTTCCTTTCCTTTCCCTCGCCTGCGCGCTGCGCGCGGTCGCGTCCCTCGCCAAAATTTTGGCAACTGCCTGCCCGCGGCGGGGCGCCGGTTCCGTTTGGTGTTTTTCCGCTGGGGAGGAGGCGGGGAGGCAAATTTTTGGGGGGAAGGGGAAGGGAAATCAGCGGGATTTCTTTCCCGTTTTCGCGTCGCGCACGCGGGAGTGTTTTGTATTTTGAAATGTCGTGGTTTTGCTGGGTCTGGGTGAGCGGGCTGGCATAGCACGTGGTGGTCCCCATGCGTCGGCGGCGCAGGGTATGGGGTTGTGGTTTTGTGGGGTTCTTTTTATTATTATAAAGGTAAAATTGTTTTTTTAGGGAGTAAAAGTAAAATTGTCGTATTGAAGAAGGGAGTTTTGGGCTCGAGGCCAGCACGCATTTGCCACCATGCTTTTGCCGACGGTAACAAAATGGATGGTGACGTGATTACTTTAGGCGTTGTTTGGATAGGCAGTATATGCAAAACCGGATCTTCACAAACCAGGGAAATGGTGTAACAAACTAAAATCTTGTTTGGCAACTCTAACCAATCCGTGAATATAGAAAACTTGGCTTTTCAAAAACCCAGATTTCAGGTATATAGAAAAACGACTAATAGTCGTTTTTTCATAAACGAGATTTACATAAATTGGATCCCAATTGAGAGCAGAGCAAGTGTTTGTCGGCAGCTGCACGCCGAGTCATGCAAGACGGAGGGGATGCGACGAGGCGGTTGGTCCGACGACCTCGGGGAGCAGAGCAATCGCTCGCCGGCGGCTGTGCGTGGAGTCGTGCAGGCCGGAGGGGGCGCGAGAAGCAGCTGACGGCAGCGTCAGTGCATGGGGACGACCGGACGACGACCTCGGGAACCAACAGATGCCCTCGCCTGCGGCCGCGTGTGGAATCAACGGAGGTCGAGGGGAAGCGAGAAGCAACCCGAGGAAGAGTCAGTGCAGGGGGGCGACCACCCAGGGGCCAACGGATGGCCTCTCCGTCAGCCGCGCGCGGAGTCAGTGGAGGTCGGAGGGGATGCGAGAATTAGCCTCGGGCGACGACCTCGGAGACCATGGGAAGTGCCAGCAGGAGGCCGCATGCAGAGTCATGGAGGCCGGAACGAAGTACGACAGCGGCATGGGATTCGTACGGCATGTTGTCGAGCTTGTATGTCTCGTCAATGGAAAAGCAAGGATGAAGGTCATGGACGAGGTAGGACAAAGCTAATGTTTGTTATCCAAACAAAAAACTCTTAAGGACCTTTGTTTATTAATTCTCTACCCAAACAAAGATTCCTGTAAACACGTTTTTCATAAAATGAATAGTAAAACGGTTTCCCTAAAAATGAGCTAAAAACTTGTTTTCTACAACCCCACTATTAATCCTCGCTATCCAAACAACCCCTTAAGGGCATGGGACTGGACACTGTGCTTCGACCAAAGGATGCATTGGCACAGGACGGGACAACCGAGCAGGACCTTGCAGTCTTGCTAGACACACCTCGAGCATCTCCAACCGTTGGCCCTCCCCCATGGGGGCTCAAAAAATCGCTGCCTGGGGACGACCCGGCGAAATATACGGCTTGAGGCCGATCGGGTCCCCAGCCGCCGGTCCCAGGGTCGACCTAGAAGGCTTTTTTAGAATCTTTTTTAAACTTCGGCGAAATATAGCAGACTTAAAATAAGGGAAAATTTTGTTTTTGCCACTCTATATTTTGCCAATTTTCCTTATGCCATTCTAGATTTTGACATTTCACTTCTGCCACTCTTAGCTTTTGACAATTATCACGATTGCCATTCCGTGGCAAAAGAAAAATGATTTTATTTCATTTTTGCCACTGTTAGCTTTTGAAATGTATCACAATTGCCACTCTGAAAATTTTGCTTTTGCCACAAAAATGGCAATTGTGATAATTATCAAAAACTAAGAGTGGCAAAAGTAAAATATCAAAATCTACAATGGCATAAGGAAAATTGGCAAAATCTAGAGTGGCAAAAATAAAACTTTCCCTTAAAATAAACTCCGACGCTTAACAGTTTTTTACGTAGGAAACTTAAAAAAAAGCCTAGCTACAGGAAGAACGCGCTGAGCACGGAGAAGCCCTCGTCGCCGTTGCTGTCGCGGACATCGTCGTCGTCCTTCTCCTCCTTGACGCGGCCGCTGCCGCCCCTGCTGGACCCCTGCCCGCCGTCGCCCTGGCGGACCGGTGGCGGCGCGTCGTCGTTGTCGTCGTCGAGAACGATGACTCCTCCCTCGTCGCGGCCCCGGCGCCGAGCGGAGAACTACTCTAGGGCGCGGACTTGGCGCTCTAGCTCCGTCTGCCCAGTTCTCGCGCGCCCACTCCAACGCCGCCTCCTCGGAGAGGCCCGGCTCCGTCTTGACCGCGGCGAGTCCCAACTCCTTCTTCACCGCGGCGAGCTCGGGCTCCATCTTTGGCTTGACGAAGCGGGGAGGGGCCGAGGAGGAGGCGCGCCCGCCATCGCTGATGACGATGCCGATGCTGCATATTCGCCGGCCGAGCGGCGTCTCGTCGGACTCGGCCTTGACGCTGAGTAGCACCGGCGACCCCGACGAGGAGGAACAGGAGGAGGAGGAAGAAGAGGACGCCACCCTCCTCGGCATCCACTGGCCGTCGTCCGGGCCGGGGCGGGAGGGTAGGTCAGGGGCGGGTTGTTGCCTCCCTCGAGGTGCTAGAGGACGGCGTCAAGCAAACGGCCGGGGGCGCCCCGCCACAGGCGGCACTCCTCGTTGTTCAGTCTGCCCCTGACCATCGGTGCCCCGTTGGTGGAGGCGATCCGTTACGCCTTGCCGGTGTTGGAAGTACGCCGTCCACGCCTCGTGGTTGCCGGCGGCGTAATGTGGGAGGGCCTGCTGCTCGTCCGTCAGCGACGCCCGAACGCGGTCGACCTCGGCGGTGAAGAGGTCAGGCGTGCGTCGACGTCAGGCATCGAGGGGATGGGGACGCCGCCGGCGCTGAGCCTCCAACCCGACGGCATGGCGCGCATGTCGGGAGGCGCCGGGATGTTGGCCTCGAAGAGCAAGTAGGCCTCCCAACGTGGATGGAGTGGCGGCCAAAGCCATTCGTTGTCACCCCATCGCTGGGGAACCGCTCGGCCATTGTCTCGGGAAGGAGGGCTCGGGGGAGAGAGGGGGAAGAGAGGTGGAGCTCAGCGGCGGTTCACGGGGAGAGAGGCGGAGAGCTCGGCGGCAGGGTTGTGGGCGGGTGTGGCCAGAGGCGAGGGAGAGGTCTGGCTTTTATAGCCGGGTGCCGTGTGTACGCGTGGCGGAAGGGGAGGCGTCGCCGCGCTGCCCGTGAGCGCCGCCCGTGAGGAATCAATGGCAAGGCTGACCAGCAACAGCCTTGCCATTGATTCCTTGATAGCCTTGCCGTTGATTCCCTGCGCAAAACCGAGGCGTCGTGAGGACAACGAGGCAACTGTCGCTGACTCGGCGGACCCGCAGCGCGTTCGCGCCAATACCGCTCGCCCCGGCACCCCCGAGCGCCCCCAGCGCGCCGGGTTTGGCCTGGGTACGTCGGCACCAATTTCGGCCCAAGCCGGCAAAAAACAGGCTCTTGAGGGAGCGACTGAGCCGATTTTTGGGCGCCGGCGCAGAAAAATCGTCTGGAAAGGGTCTGTTGGGAGCGCGGCTAGAGATGCTCTTACGTGCAAGGGATGTGGTGACCAACTTTTGTTGAGTCTTTGTGCCAGAGCATCTCCATTAGCTCGTATATTGCTTCCTCTATCTTCGTGCTTCAACTTTGACCATAAATTTAACCAACAGGACCGATTTTATGGCGGGAGCAAAAGTTATACCAGTGAATTTGTATTCAAAAAAGTTTTCAATTATATAGTTTTTTCTCCCGCCGCAATCGGTCTCGTTGGTTAAATTTATAATCAAAATTGGACCTCGGGTAGCGCGGTCGCACTATATTTTGGAATGAAGGAAGTATTTCTAAAATGAATGTCGTTTATGAAAAGTATTCTTTAACACAGTACACACGATGACGCTCATACATACGCACATACATTCACACCTATAAACGCACGCATACCTTACCTCTATGAGCACCATCAAGACTGAGCTAACACATCATCTTGAGATTGCCGAAGTCATCACACACGCCTTCATAGTCGACGAAAACGTTTCATCTCATTGAACGCACATTGCCGGAATACCTGAAATAAATTCAAAATGATGCGAGCATCAATCAATTCTAGAAATTGAACTCTGGTGAACTACGGATATATCACTGTCCTCTAACCATTCAACCACAGATTGGTTCGCTTAAAGTTATGACCACTTTTCGGGAAGTTGAGGCAAACAAAACCTCTAATAGTTCTCATAAAGTGACCATAACTTTATAGGATCCCGTAAAATTGGTCTTTCTTCCCAGATGTTTGCGGGAAAGTCACCTTCCCATAAAGTTATGACCACTTTACAGGAACTGTTAGATAGGCCTTTTTGTCCCCAACTTCCCGTAAACACCGCCAAAACGTCGTTGCTCGCCTTCGCTATGCCGTCGCCGCCTTGTGCCGTTTGCTGCTAGTTATCTATTTTTTGTTTAATTAAAATAAAATAAAAATAGATTTAGGGGAGTAGTGTACGGAAACTAACAAAAGATGCTCTTCGACAACTTCTCCTAAATTTTATGGTCATCCTGAAAACAAGTTCCGTGGAAAGATTTTTAAGAGAGTTGCTGGAGTTGCTATAAGGGAAACTCCAGACCAACGTCTCTTGAGTCTTGTGCCACAAGGGAAAC